GCCGGGCCGGGCCGGGCCGAGGGCGGCACCGAGGCAGCCCCGCCTACCTGCAGGGATCTGCAGAGCCAGCTTCGCCTCTCGTCCGCATCGCGTCCCTTTCACCCCTTCCTTTGATTTTCCCTTATCCCCCTCTTCTTGGAAATCGTTCGGCGCGTCCCCCCGCCAAAGGGCTGGCTGTCCTTCCCGTCAGTCAAAAACGTACCCTGCTCTTCTGGAGGTGTTTGAAGGTCATTCAGCTTTTTGAGTGTGGCCAATACGCGAAAAAGAAAGGACCTAGCCATATTTCTTCAAAAAAAAATAAAAATGAAGTTGCTCTAAGTTTGAGCGTACGGTGCTTTTGGGGTGTCCCCTTTGCTGACCCGGGCTGTGGCTCCCTTCCACCCCGTGTGTGCGCAGGGTTTCGCTCTGGGCAGTGTTGCCCCCTACCAGTGAATTCTGTAAATTACTCCCAGCACTGGGAGCCGAAGTTGCAGCGCCCTACTTGAGCCCTCGGCTTGTTGAAAAGGCCGTGTGGTCCTTCTCAGCAGCGTCCAGCTGGAGGGTATCGTGTCCAAACAATTTGAATTTAGGAACCACGTGAGTTTACCCTCTCTCTGCTTTTCTGTTTTCTTTTCTGTGCATGTGTCTTCCTCTCCACAGTACCCTAGAGTCTGTCTTTCCTGCCACAAAAAGCAATGTTCAGAGAGACTGACTCCCAAAATACCAGCTGACTTCAACACAATGAATGTCTGATCCTTTTAGATAATCGCTGTGTCCTTACAACCTCTGCTTGCTGAACACTCACGAGCTGCACTAAAGCATTTTGCTTTAAATGAGATGTCTGGGGAAAAGGAATGCCATTTAATTTGTGACAGCATTTAAAGAACTTTTCAGTGCTTCTAGTTGTACTTTGCAGCATATATTGATGATCTGATACAAAAATTAAGTTAAATCCCATAAATTTTACCAAATCACTTTAAATTATTTTTGCAACATAGTCCTGTATATGGCATGTAGGGAAATATAGGGAAATATAATATGGGAAATTATTGTGAGGGTGGTTACCATGGGAGAAAGAATGGAAAGAGAAAGACTCTAGGTGCTGTAAAAGCGTCAGTTCCAGAAAGTCTGTGGGGTGAAGTTGCCAAAGCCAGGAGCGGGGCAGGCAGTGCCAGGATGATGGATGGGTGTGTGCCCACTGCCTTCCAGCGCTCCAGCTGTGCAGGCCTGGCACAGGCAGGCTTGGAATAACACCGGGACCCTCAGCCCTGGCCTTCCCCACGCTGCAGCCTCTGCAAGGGATCAAATGATCTGCAAAGAAGAACAGCACGTCCCCACCTGCCGCCCGCCTTGCAGATTTCTGCGGTTTGGATGCCGGTTTCGAGTTTCCTTCACCTGATTCTCAAAGCTGAATGGGGGAAAATGTGCCAGCTGTTGGGAAATGGGAAACTTCAGAGTCCAGCACGCTACAGAAAGGTTCGGTATATAAGCAATTATTTTAATTTGGGAACTTACCCCTAGCACACCAGAGAGCCTGCATATGTTTAAAGCCTGACAAAATGTTTTCTTGTTGGTCCTAGAGGAGGATTGCAAGTGTAGAGCTGGGATATTCCCAGCATCTGCCAAGTTGTAAAGTTGGCAGTAGTCAGCATATGGAAAATCGCAGCATGAATCACGTATTTATCTGATACTTTCTATTTCAAACTTTTAATTGCTTCTTTCAGAAACCCATAAAATGGAAGTGCCAGTTAAGGAAGGCAGTTATAACATATGGGATACCTTTCAAGAGTGGAAAAAACAGATGAAATATTAGGCTGAATATGGAATTGTGAGGTTAGATGACCTCATAAAAAATTCTTACTGTAGCATTTGGTTTAAAGACTATTTAGATTAAAATTGAATTTTGCTGGTTGTGTTAGGTATATTTTGGTTTACATATTCATTACACTTTTAAAGCATGAATATTGCTGTTTTTTCCAGTAAAAGAGACACTTTAGAAAATACTTCTGTGCTTCACCATGGTGTGTTTTCTGGCTGGGACAGTTACCTTTGCCAGGACATCACTTACACGTCTGCATGATAAAACATGTTTTCCATTTATGTTCCAAGAGCAAGAAAAAGTGTCTGACCACCCCCAGTGCCACCAGTGCGCTGTTCCCAGTCCGGGCTGGGATGGAAGGGAGGAGGCTGCTGGGAGGGAGCCGGCCAACTTCTCCCCTTGAGAACCTGCCCAGGTGCTGTGGGCATGAAGTGGCCCTGGCACTGCCTGCAAGAGTGTTTAGGCTCACTGAGCAGTTTTAAAGGCACCAAACCCAAGCATTATTCATTTCACCAGTTTCTGGTTTTTCAAAGCAAGGTGGCAAAATGGCTCAGGTCATTAGCTCTCCTCTCTGAAGGGGGATCTGTTTCAGACTGGTGGTGCCATACACTGACTGGGCAAAGGACATGTGGCATCTCAGCCCTGTCCTGCGCTGTGTCTTGCAACAGTATATTGAAAATTCCAGGAAAATCAGGAATTGGGGTTGTAAAGAAAAGCCCTGGGTTGCAGCACAGGTTCAGGTGTGTTAGCACAGCACAATATGGAGTGCTGCTGGAAAAATCAATGTCTCCAAGCTGTGATTCCTTTCACTGGGAACGGGTCTGAGCGGCTCCAAGCAGTGCCCAGGGCAGCCCTGCAGATCTGCCTGTGGGAGTGCTGACCTCTGCCCTTTGGAAACAGGGAAGCTCTTGGTAGCTGAGGACAAACGCAAACATAGCGCTCCAGCTTTTCCTTTACGTCCTCCTTAAAGCTTCCGTCTATTTCTGTCCCACTAATCTCATTGGCAAGGGGCACGGCCGAGGGAAAGTGGTGGGAGGAGAGAGCCCAGAGCCCAAACTTTGCTATTGAAGTCAGTGACAAATTTGCCATCGCCTGCAGCGAA